AGAGAGATCAATCCCCCGTGCAAAGGCCACTCCAGGAGTGGGGCCCTCTTTTCGGTCCAAACTAGGAAAATTCAGCCCCCCTTTAATATTCAACTTTTCAACTAAAAAAATCAAGCTTGTAACCCCTTACTAATCTCCACATGACCCATAAAAAATGGAGTAAATTTTTTAAATAGTCGCCTAGTGAAAAATGTAACAGTGGGGGTCGTAAAGTGGACTGGGTCCACCGGGTGTTTGGGTTAATAGTCCATCGGTGAAATCAATGAAGTATTGTTAATTGATAAAGTATAGAATAAATTTATTTTTTAAAAAATAATAAATAAATTTATCAAAAAAATTTAAAAAATATGTTCTGTTAAAATGACTTAATTTTTTCCCTTTGATTTAAAATATATTTTTTTTCCAAAATTAAATTTTAAAAAAAAGACTTTAAAAATATTTGTTCAAGATAAGTAATTGTTTGCGAAAAATAAATTACAAACATATGTCTCGACTATATTTAAATATTAAAGTAGAGTAAAAAATTTTAGACAGGTGCCAGCGAACCCACCTTTGTATCAATGCTCCTAATTAAAAACTCGAACAAATTAAACAACTGGGAGATGGGGCATGATGTGTAGACAAGTTTTGATTTGGACTAACAAAGAGACAAAGTCACCATATATTACAAAGCAATGGTCCGCAAATACAGGTAAAGCTACTTTAACAGTGGATGGCAAATAATGGAGATGGATTGAAAATTTCTTATGATTAGGCTTGACTTATTGCCCTCTAACGGTAGGCTTATTTTTAATTTTTTTTAAAAAAAAGTTAAGTTAAATTCCCATTTCGTCCTTAGTTCAACTCCAAATCACCCTAAATCAAATGGTGACATTGAAACAAGATGTGTTTTATTGGCTCTTCTTTTCCTGTTTCTACCTAGTTTTCCTTTTCTTTCTAGTGTCAAAAGAATTTGAAAAACATGAAATCAACTTTCATGACATTAAGCTAGCAAGAAACACTATAACAAGAAACCAGAGCCCTTCTCATTTCTTTTGGTAGTTTATTCATGTAGTTATTTAGTTGAACCAGAAGAACTAATTTTATCCATGCCATACATTATCTACATGGTTCCGCTTGCCAGCAAGAAACAGATATTGAAGCTGGGAAAAATCGAAAACCGAACGGTTTCAAAACCGAACACCACCTTGCCAAAACTCTATCTCAAGGTATTACTTCGAATATCGATTCTTTGGGTCGTGCTTCATTATTCTTTGGGCCAATAATGCCCCAAATGGAGTGGTTGTTGGTGTTGAAAAGCTTGGAAATGGTTGTTTAATGGTTGGCCATGAAATATTGGATTTTTGGATTATGCAGATTTTATTTGGACCAGGCCATTAAAAGGAAGAGTATTATGTAATGGAAATTTTTTAATCAGAACCGTCGACCCATCACGAAAAATGGCTTGAATGCATAGCATGGTCAAGGTTTCAGTCTTGTACAGAAAACAAGAGATGTCAACGAATCTTAATCATCAGAAATTGAACAAGACTTTTCCTTCTTTCCACAAAGCAAAAATTATTATAATATAATGTTTGTTTTCATATATTTCAATTTTTTTTTTTTTTTTTTTTTTTTTTTTTTTTTTTTTTTTTTTTTTTTTTGGGTTAAAATCCGGTCCAATAATACACAGACATAAAACAAAGACTTATTTCTTCTAGTCTAGTTAGACTGACCTCGAGCTCGAGAATTGAGTATATATGGAAAGAAGGGTAACGAATAATATTTTTTTGAATAGATAAATGCTTAATTGTCATAAATTAATTTTTTTTTTTTTTTTTTTTTTTTTTTTTTTTTTTTTTTTTTTTTTTGGGATTAAAATGCCGGTCCATAATAACACAAACATAAAACAAAGACTTATTTCTTCTAGTCTAGTTTAGACTGACTCGAGCTCGAGAATTGAGTAATATATGGAAAGAAGGGTACGAATAATATTTTTTGAATAGATAAATGCTTAATTGTCATAAATTAATTGATTTAGTAGTGAACTGATTAATTAAAAGATGTTTGTTTTTTCTTGTTTTGAACTGATATGCAGTTCACAGATGTTACTTACAAGGTGACAATTAAGGGAATGACTTCATCAGTAGAGAAAGATATATTGAATGGAATAACTGGTTCAGTGGATCCAGGCCAAGTCTTGGCACTTATGGGACCTTCAGGAAGTGGAAAGACTTCACTCTTGAATTTGCTCGCCGGAAGGTTAATTCCGGCCAACGTTGGTGGTTCAGTCACTTACAATGACCAGCGTTACTCCAAGTTTCTTAAAAGTAGGTAAGCATCAAATATATGCATTGCTCTTATTACTATAAATTACTCTTGTTGAGGTTCAAATTCATAACATCAAGATCTGAGTTCTTTAATCAATAAAAATGTATTAATGCAGGATAGGATTTGTGACTCAAGATGATGTTCTGTTTCCTCACCTTACAGTGAAAGAAACTTTAACATATGCAGCTCTGCTTAGATTGCCCAAGAAATTGACAAAAGAGCAGAAGGAGAAAAGGGCCATAGATGTCATCTATGAACTAGGCTTAGAAAGGTATAGATACATTTATATATTCTTTATAATCTAAAGGAAGTAACAGTGTGAAATTATAATCTTGATATGCAAATGCAGGTGTCAAGACACTATGATTGGAGGCTCCTTCGTTCGAGGCGTTTCAGGTGGAGAAAGGAAAAGAGTTTGTATTGGAAATGAGATTATAATCAACCCTTCTCTTTTATTTCTTGATGAACCTACCTCTGGCTTGGATTCTACAACTGCTTTAAGAATAGTTCAAATGCTACAAGATATTGCCGAGGTAACTATATAACTAAATTTTGCACAGAGTTACGAAAATATGACATAAAATGAATAATGCATAGATAATTTTGTGCACACTGTGCTTTGAAATTAAGATGAATCCCGCATAAATGTAAAAAGCACTCAAATTGCTAGTGTTGTAAATTATTCTGTCACTAAGCGGTTGTACATAATAATTTAATGGCAGGCTGGGAAAACTGTGGTGACAACAATCCATCAGCCATCAAGTAGACTATTCCACAAGTTTGACAAGTTGATTCTTTTAGGAAAAGGAAACTTGCTTTATTTTGGAAAGGCATCAGAAGCAATGACTTATTTCTCATCAATAGGTTGCAACCCTCTAATTGCCATGAATCCAGCAGAGTTCTTGCTAGACTTAGCAAATGGAAACATAAATGATGTTTCTGTACCATCAGAATTAGATGATAAAGTGCAAATGGGAAACTCTGATAATGAAACCAGAAATGGGAAGCCATCCCCTGCAGTTGTACATGAGGTAATTAATCCAATTCCTACATATATTCACACACTGGCTCCAGAAGGTATGCGAGTTTAATTATCCAGGCATGCTTCGTTCAGCAATTACCAGTCAGTGGTTAAATGTTAACAGCTGGCAGCCGATGGTTAAAAGCCTAAATGTAGACAGTTAGAAATTTCAATTTTCAGTATTTCAAATCAACAGTTAGGAACTTCAATGCTAACTGCTAGTTTCCAAATAAATCTAATGATAATTTTTGCATTGTTGCAGTATCTCGTGGAGGCCTATGAAACACGGGTTGCAGAAAATGAGAAGAAGAAGCTTATGGCTCCTATACCTCTAGATGAGGAAGTGAAGCTGAAAGTTTCTTCTCCGAAACGACAATGGGGAGCAAGCTGGTGGGAACAATATACTATATTATTCTGCAGAGGAATCAAAGAAAGGAGACATGACTATTTTAGCTGGTTGAGGATAACCCAAGTTCTGTCAACTGCAATAATCTTAGGTTTACTATGGTGGCAATCTGATAGTAGCAGCCCTAAGGGCCTGCAAGATCAGGTAACTAATTATACCAAAGTCTAATCCTTAAACTTAGAAAAGAAAAAAAAAAAAAAAAGAAAGAAAAAGAAAAGCTTAACCTTTCTTGCATTGCAGGCAGGGCTGCTTTTCTTTATTGCTGTTTTCTGGGGATTCTTTCCTGTCTTCACTGCAATTTTTACATTTCCTCAAGAAAGAGCAATGCTTAATAAGGAACGTGCAGCGGACATGTATAGACTCAGTGCATATTTCTTAGCAAGAACTACAAGTGATCTTCCACTTGATCTGATACTACCTGTACTTTTCCTTCTCGTCGTCTATTTCATGGCAGGCTTGAGAATGAGCGCTGCTCCTTTTTTCCTTAGCCTGCTCACAGTTTTTCTCTGCATTGTTGCTGCTCAGGTAAGCCTTTCTAGAATAAGAAGTCTATATAATAATAAAACTAATCAAGAAAGAAGCTCTAGTGTCCAAATCTAATGTATTTAACCAATGATGGGTTGAACGGCAGGGTCTTGGACTAGCTATTGGGGCTACACTGATGGACTTAAAGAAGGCTACAACATTGGCTTCAGTAACCGTGATGACCTTCATGTTGGCTGGAGGATACTTTGTGAAGGTAAATTTTAACTTATATATTCTGATTCAGAAATTCTTGCCTAGATTATCGTCCATCTGACATGTTATCAGACACATCCCATTTGAGATGGTTTATAGTGAACCATGATATTCACTTTTCTTCTTTTGTTTTTATTGCACAGAAAGTTCCGATATTTGTGGCTTGGATTCGCTACATGTCTTTCAACTACCACACTTACAAACTTCTTCTCAAAGTGCAATATGAGCACGCGTCCTCTCCTATAAAGGGAATGAGAATAGACAGTGGACTGACTGAAGTAGGTGCATTAGTAGCAATGGTCTTTGGCTATCGCCTCTTGGCATACATTTCACTGAGGAATATGAAGCTAAATTGTAGTGCCTGATAGGTGAAAAACTTCAGACGAACATGAATCTGGAAAACCTCCCTACTATTCTGAATCGGACTAATCATCAAAGCAACCTCACATTCTAGAATTGTGTTTTATGAGAAGCAGACACGGATTCCATAATCCAGAACCATCAGATTTCTGCTTTTTTGCATCATAATTGCATCAACAGGAGAATTACAAGCTACCTTAAGAATGTCGGTAAGAGGATTTTGCTGTGGAGAATTTTTAGAAATGTCATTACTGTTACCTTACATCAGCAGAATTTCATTTTCAAAAGCTAGTCTTTGAAATTATTTATTTGCAATGATGTAATATTTTTGCTAGAAATAATAAATTGAAATATTAAAATGTCAATAAATTTGGGGTTTTAAGTATTAAATTTGTAGGTGTTTTTATAAGTTATATATTTAAGCAGATAGAAGGTTAGAGTTTGTTATTAACTTTCAGTTTCTCATATCTTATTATATAAATGTGAGATTATCTAATTGTAAAATTGTGACCCTTTATACAAAGGGAAGCCATAGTTTAATATACAAGTTTAAGTGTTTTTATGTTTTCTTTCTTTCAACTGTTTTTACAATAGCGATATCAAATTTTCTATCTAATGTCAATGGTATAACAGTTCCTATCTATTTTCTAACAAGTATTAGAGTATCTAAAGCTAACAAGTGGTATTAGAGCTAGGTTGGTGCAAAACTTCCGAGTGCCCTAACAGGCCAAGAGAGGTCCTGGAAAATATCTTGGAAAAAAAAAAAAGATGAAAAAGACCCGTGCTAGCTAGATTGAAAAGCCCGGTCCATGAAGAAGCTTGAAATAAAAATTGGAGACCTGTGACCTCTAAGGTTCAAGGAGTACAAGCTCAGGCAAAAGTAAAGAAGCAAGAAGCAGACCTAAGGCCTCTAAGGCTCAAAAAGAACACAAGTCCAGGCTGAGAAGATTGAAGGAAACCACCGAGCCAAAATGAGCAAAGTCTGGATTAGTCTCAGGAGTCCAAGTGACAATTGGCTATCAGCAAAAAGAAGCCCAAACTCAGTTGCACTTGAGGGGGATTGTTGGAAGATGGTAAGGAACAATGGTCCCACATTGGAAAAAGAAGAACCAAAGAACGTATATAAGTTAAATGGTGGTGAAGTTAAAAATGGCTCAGGCCATTTTAATAAGACCACCCATTTCAAGCTCAATGGTGAAGCCCAACACTCCACAATGAAGGTCCAAACTCAAGTCAAGTCCATGATCAATACAAAGCCCATTCAAAATCTAACATAGTATAAAAAAAACTGAAACTAAAGGACGTATACGTCCACAAACTATAAAACACTTCTTCGGACGGATTGACATGTCCAAAGAACTGAAAAATTCAAGGGACCAGCATGTCATTAAACTGCATAAAAATATTTGTCTAGGGACCAACAAGTCATTAAACTGCAAAATTATTTTTTCAAGAAGTTTCTTTCATGAAGATCAAGAGGGCTAATGTTCTAAAACAAGAAGAAAATAGCTTTAAAGGTGCCTTGTTACAGAACAAAGAAACCATTATATTTCAATTTAAGGGGGACTGTTAGAAATAATAAATTGAAATATTAAAGTGTCATTAAATTTGGAGTTTTTAGGTATTAAATGTGTATGTGTTTTTGCAAGTTATATATTTAGATAGATGGAAGGTTAGAGTTTGTTATTAACTTTCAGTTTCTCATATCTTATTATATAAATGTGTGATTATCTAGTTATAAAATTATGACCTTTTGTACAAAGGCAAGTTATAGTTTAATATACAAGTTTAAGTGTCTTTATGTTTTCCTTCTTTCAACTATTTCTATAAGAGTGATATCACATTTTCTATCTAATGTCAGGGTATCACAGTTTCTATCTATTTTCTAACAAGTGGTATCTATTTTCTAATAAATGGTATTAGCGCATCTAAAGCTAACAATTTTTCCAGCCTAACTCACATTAGTTGAGTTTAAGAATGTAGCTTTCAAATGTTAGAAGGACAAAAATCTTGTTCAAGTTTAGTGACTTTCTTTTAAGAAAATTTGCAAGGTCATCACTTAGATACAATAAAACATAGAGGGGAGGAAAACCAAACGAGGGAAATAAAAATAAACAGTTATTATAAGAGAAAAAAGAAAGATTGCTCTACAGCTCTGTTCATGTTTTTGTAGCCTAAGGTATTCAAATTAAGCGTGAAAATTTATTAGAAGTCACAACATCAGGATACCTGCCTTCAACAGCCCAGAAAATTTTCTTTTAGATTCAAGCTGTTGTAGTCATTGCTGCTCAGCCACCTTCCAATGTTTTCCAGGTAAATATTTCACTTGCTGAGTTGTCTATTCTTTATTTTCCCCCTTTTCTCTCTTTTCCCATCAGAAAATTCATGCCAATGTCCTCAACCAGCCAAGAAGTCGAAGGAGAGCAGCATCCAACACAGGGGAATTTTTCTCCAGTCCTATGATATAAGAAAATGAACCAAATGGGGGGAAATATAGCCATTCTTTTTTTCTTTTCGATTTCTAGTAATCACACAAAATGATGTCAACTAAAAAGCAATATACCCTATTTGATAGAAATGAATTTGAATTATAGAATTCATATAACTAAACTTGATTTAATCATATTGAATTCAGTACAATTGAATTAAAGGGAGTAAAGCAAACATTTTCTTTCATATCAAACATGAAACCATGAAATTCCAAATGAATTCCATAAATGTTATATTTGGATTCTTAAATTTGATTTAAAATTAAGCATTTTAAAGTATAAGTATATATGAAATGATATATGTTCTATAGTTTTTTGAAATCCATAATGTTTTAAGGCTTAAAAATTTGTTATGGTGTCCATTTAAAACCAATTTCATAAATATTTCTCAAACCCAAACAATTAATTTTATCCAAATCCAAATTGAAACATTCAAATATATAAATACAAACACAACATAAAATTTTGTGGAATTCATTTATACCCAACTGGGGATTATACTATGAAACAATCATAACCTAACTAGATGACAGCAGAATTATTCCAGGCAACAAGAAACCTTAGTTTAAGATAGAAAAATTGTCTACAGCTTACCAATATCAGCAGCTACTCGATGAGCACACATTACTCCTGAAAAGGCTACAGCTATTACACCCTGTCCAGGAAAACAGCTATCCCCAACACAGTAAAGACCATCTATCCCCTGCAAGTTTCATTATCATATGACCTGGCGTACTGATAGGCTTCAGAGATACCATAGAATCCAAGCATAAAATCACATATACTTACTGTTGTATTGAACGGCATTCCCAGTAAGCCTTTAGGAATATTACGTGGCATCGGTCCATAGGTACCTTCATCACGAGCTAAGTATCGCCTGTGTGTCTTAGGTGACCCCACCTATCATGATGATTAGAATTTTTAATTTAAATGCAGCAATTCAGATTTTAAAATCTAAGGAGATCCACATATCTAAAGCATATTCTTGCATTCGCCAACACTTTGAAACAAGTAAATTCGAATGAGCTATGGAACAACTGGCAAGTCAGTATTGGAAGAACAAAGAAAAAGAAAGGGATAGGAAGAAAAAATTTTTGAACAGGAAAATTAGAGTGATATTTTTGAATATGAGGCTACAGTAAAACCCAATTTTTTGAGTCACCCTCATTCCCTTCCTGAGGACTCATCAACTTAGAAAAGCATTCATCCAACTATTTTAAGCTAGTTCTACAAATTCATTTTTCTGAATATAAGTTCTGTATAAGATAAGGCTATATCGTTCAATGAATTTAGATTACTAACAGAAGTGTAATATATCAGTTCAAAAAAAAAAAAAAAAAAAACAAAAAAAATTTAGATTACTAACAGAAGTGTAATATATCAGTTTCAAAAAAAAAAAAAAAAAAAAACAAAAAAAACCAAAGTGTAATATTTACCTCCATAAAAGAAATTAGATGATCTGAGAAAAAAAAAAAAAAAAAAAAACAAAAAAAACAAAAGTGTAATATTTACCTCCATAAAAGAAATAGATGATCTGAGTCCTGGAAACAGTTTCTTCTCCAATCTACTTATAATCTCATCTGCCACAAGCTCCTTCTTCGCCTCATAGTCCTTTGGTGAGAGTCCCTAAACAGTAAAATCCAGCAACTCAGTAACAGAGAGAGGAGAGAAACAGGGGGTGGTGGGATCATCTTGAATGAAAATTTTGACATGGAAGTAGATAGTATTAAAGTTGCCTCCCAGTCTTCTATGGAAGAAGTTGTAAATATATGAAGAATATGGTGGCCAGCAGGAGCTAGTGATGAATCAAGAACAGTGGGAATGCTTAAAAATATACTTCCATAAGGCTCCTCTAATCTTGCCCAGTCATCCTAAATCATAAAGGAAAGAAATCATAACAAATTGGCTGTTAATAATTCTTGAAGAATGCATTATTAATTGATCTAAAATTATCTGACAATATAAGCAAATGAAGCTAGCAGAAAACAGCAGTACCTCAAGCACAAAATGGTGGCAATCTGTCTTTGGTACCAGAACCTCAGCTTTGACACCCATGTGAATGGAAAGAAAAGAAGGAGCCTTAACATAAACCTTTTGGAAATTTTCTTCTTCTTTCGGAAGCTTTTCTCCTTTTAATAACTTCCCTGTGGCACAATGACTTCTTCATAAGAACTAAAGAAACCAGCATTGGTCAAAGAAACGAAAGGCCATGATCAAGACAATTCAATGTCAAGAAGCTTCTTTCCAAAACTAACCAAAGGTATCCCATCTAGTAGCATTTGATATTATGGTTTTGGCAAAGAACTCTCTTTTATCTGACAGTCTTACTCCCACCTACCAATTACCAATTTCAATCAAAACTTAGAAAAGAGCATCTATACTGTATAACCACCAAGGTTAGATTTCTAGCACACCCAAGAAAGTCAAACTCACAGCCTTTCCATCATCTAGTATGATGTTAGTGACATTTGCCCTGTATAGAATGTCACTTCCCTGACCAATCAGGCCACTCGCCAACGACTTTGCAATTCCACCAACACCACCAACAGGGTAGTTAATCCCTCCGAAATGCCTATCACATAGAACCTGATGCAAAAAATTACTGTAAAAAAGGGATAAACGAATTCAAGAGGAAGTGAAAATTTATCTAAACAGGTTACCATGCTCGCATTAATCATTGGTGTTTGCAATGCGTTAACCGTGCTCACAATAAAACACTGCAGAAAAATAAAAGGAACTCTTTTTTGTGAGATTGCAGAACAGGTCCTTTGCCAATCCTCAAACACCACCAAATCAAATGCCAATATTATCACATAATTACATTTATCGAACCTCGGCATCAATAAATGACAATAATTCAGGATCCTTTATGTACTTCCTAGCTATGTCTCCAGCATTTTGAGGCAGGTAATAAGCTGTAGAAAGAAGAGCATCATGAAAAGTGAAATTATAGAAACATCTCATGTCAGAGAAGATAAAGAAAAGCACAATTTTATAGGTGATCAGAATGACAATAAGAGAGGTGTGCAAAAATAATATTTTATTCACTCTTTTCGCTAACATCAGGATATAAAAGCAGGTACAACAAAAAGGAGCTAACAACCAAAGTATTGTAAATTGCAAACTATATAGTCCTGGTTCATAACTAGCCTAGCAGATTATCATAATCACTCATTACAGGTCTTATTTTGTATACATCATAAAATTTTCCAATCCGCACAAACATTGTAACGTCAGATGAATGCTCCACAGTTCTTCCAGGACCAACTATTTGGTGGTTCACGTGGTTATTCCAGAAGAGACATATGCAGTTCTGCATATTAATGTTACATCCCTAAGCAGCGGAGAAAAGCACTTTTAAGTTGCATTATCAATAGGGTTTGTGCATCAATAAAACTTTCATTGTTTGTTTATGAATTCAATAGAGCTGAATGGTATATTTCCCTCTTGTTTAAATAATAATTCAACCATTATAATGACTCCTATACATACCGCAGATTTTCCTTAGCAAATGATGGCCCAAAAAGATCATCTTTGTAAAAGATAAACATGAGTCTAGATCCTGTAACTGTTAGCATAATGCTATTGAATTATGATAAACGAAGAGAAGGAAAATTTTCTTCGCCACAAATTCACAGTCAAGTAAATTGATTCAGAACAAAAGAAAGAAAGAAACTAATACCCAATGTCAAGCATTCGAGTGGCTTCTGAAAGAACTGTCCAAACAGGTAAATTGGCTCCTCCAATGACTTCAATTCCAATGAGTTTAAGGCACTGAATATCTACCCAAAGGATACAAAAAAGACAAAGTGAGTTATGGACTAGAGCTAGAGGAATGCCAATCAGAGTTGCAGTCATCTCAACCAAAACAGACCTTCCAACATTCACCATAGAATTTAAGGATCCCTTCCTTCTCATGAGGAAATTTAGTAGTAAGTTCTGAGATGAAGTCACTGTACTCCCTGTGAACTCGAACAGAAAGATTATTGGGTAGATGAAAATGAACAGTAGTTGGATCAGGAATGACCTCCATTTTACAACCAACTGCAGCCAATGCTTGAGTTATCAAATTTAGATTGCCCTGCCAAATTTAAGGCACATGTAATCTATGAAAACTCTGACAAGAATGATAATTCAACAAAGTATTTAGTAACTAAAAGATAAATAAAGGTATCATGGACCTCTCCGTTTATTGAAACGAAAATAAGAATTTACTTGCCACCAATTGAATCCTACTCTATGATTTACATGTAATCCACACTTGTTTTCTTAAATGCTTCACGACTACATTTTCACCCCCAGTTGTACATTTCAGTTTATATGTAAGCCTATATTACTTCTCTTATTTTCCAAATGACACTCTTAGAATTCAACATACAATCTACACCACAATTCTCACATTCCAATATAATAATTTCAACTTAATAGCTAATAATTAGAGCATAACTACAAAAAAGCAAAGAGATGCAAAGTAGCAACTGACCTTGTCACTGAAACCAAACATCACAGAAGACCCAACATCAAAAGTATAACCATCCCTCTGGTAATACCCAGAGCTACCACCAGGAATCGTATACTTCTCCAAAACCAAAACCCTAGCTCCCTTCACAGCCAGCTGTGTAGCGGCAACCAACCCACCAATCCCAGACCCAATCACAATGGCATCGTAGTGTCTCTCTTTAGTAACTCCTCCATTAATCCCTTCTATATCCACTTCTTTGTCCACACTCAATGCCCTGGAAAGAAAATCCTTATTCAACTGGAAAGATTCTGACTTGACTTTACCATGCTTCTTCTTGCCATTAAAACTCCAAATTCTTGAAGGATTACGAGACAATTTTCTGGTTTCTGCAATTCCGGGTCTGAAACCACTCAATTGTAGAGTAGTATTGGATCCTAAACTCATGTCAGTAAGGTTGCAGCGAGTAGCTACTGCAATCAATCAGAGTTTCTAGGAATACCCAGAAAGCAAATATGGTAAATATTGAAACTTTGGTCTCTAGGTCTTAAAGCAATCAATAGAGACGTATTTTGTTAATGGTGAAAAGAAGAGGTAGGTGTTATAGCCGAATATGGCATTGGAATTGGGTAGTGTAGGGTGGGTGGAGATTCCAGGTCATGATTCTTACACAATGGAGGGAAGACAGAGACAAATCTGCAACGGCAATTAGATTATTAAAACGGCTTTCGGAAATTGGAGGTGTACCTTATATACCATTTATCAACTAGAATTTAACTGGCGAATTCGTGTTGTGGGTTTTATTGGAGGGTGAGAGTTCGGCTCTCGCGCGAAAAGGAAGGTGACCATCAAATGCATGTGTTGTGATCACTTGCCACTTGGTATGGATTTGGGCTTGGCAGATTCGAATACTATACCACACATTACAATTTATTATTTTCTCCTTTTTTTTTTTTTTTACTGTTCAGTATCTGAAATCTATTGACCAGGTAAAAAAAATTATGTATTTAGAATTTAAATTGAGATCTCTAATTAAGAAAAAAGAAGATCTGTATCATCTCGTTTCATCCCACGAAGTCCTGTTACAATAATTAGTAATCTATGTATTATTCTTTCTGGATTACATAAACGATCAATTCCAAAAAACTGATTTTTAAGTTTAAAGTTAAACTCATGAAAGAGCAAAATTTCCACTTATTTATTATAAGGCAATAGCTCAGGTCCATAGTATGAAGAAGGTGAAACAATAGTATATCGAAAACAAAATTTCATTTTTATTTACTAATTTGCTAAATCATCAACCCACTAAATCAAGTTGAAATTTGAATTAGTAAATTATTCTATTAAATAATTTAAAATATATCTAATATTTTTTTAAAATTCAAAAACATATTAAATTCAAGACATCAGAGCCAAATATTATAATATTTAAAATGATCATCACTTTGATTTGAGCTCAATTAAAATTGAATTGAATTTGAATTTATAAATAACTTTACTCATATCTATATCCATAAATTAAGGCAAGTAAACTATACGAGTTGAGTTATGCTAAGGCAAGTAAACTATACGAGTTGAGTTATGCTAATTGAACTTGTTTGCATGATTCCTTGTTATTTTAAACTAAGTAGAACCAAATTGACATTTACGGTTCAATCACTATATTTCTCCCTGTTAAAGGATAAGATGAATCATATTTGATTTTGTTGATCTTTTTACTAATATGGTGTGATGAGTAGGTTTCAGCATTTGAATCCTTCTGAACTTAAGGGTTTTCACCAATTTATAAACTAAAATGGAGGCTATTATGATTGTCTTTTCCTTGGTACTATTGTTAACCGTTAGACTCCATATATGAATTAAAAGAAGGAAAAAAAACAAGGGATAATGTTAATTTTGATGTCTGTACTTATCATTTTTTTTTTTCTATTTTGATACCTGGATGGAAAATTGTGACAATTGAGTGTCCAAACTTATAATTTTTTCATTCTGGTGTCTCGTGATGACATGGACTACTGAAAAATCTAATAGGACTGATTAAGACGCACAAATGCCTACGCATACACTTATGTGGAATGACTAATTTTACATGTATGACGCAAACGTGGCAAAAGGGATAAAATGTCACACTTGTCCCTCTTTAATATCGCCCAAACACAATCCAACATTCCCCTTCTTTCTCTCTCTTCTCAAATTATTCTAAAAACCCATATCCGAAATCAAAAATCCAAATGAAAAACTCTCATGGAATCACTTCATATAAAGAAAGTGAGAAGGGTAAAAAGAAACCCAAAACTTATGTTCTAATAAAAGAAGTGAAAAGATTCAAATGCGAGACAACATGAAAATGAGGGCAAATGAAGCACTACAAGAGGAGGAGGAGATACAGACCCTTCTTTTCAACCATTAAATCTTCAGTGAAGTAGAGGGCACATTTACCTCAACGGCACAACCTACCAAGTACAAGACCATGCGACTCTCACCAAGAGAGAGAGAAAGATAGAGGTGAATAAAAAAGCGAACATAAACCATTACTAGAGAATTGAGAGAGAAAGAAAGAGAGGGACTCGAAAGATGACACTTGTGGGTGATAATCTTGCAACCTAAAAGAGATAAGAAGCGGATGTTGGATTGTGTTTGAACGATATTAAAAAGAGAGGCAAATGAGACATTTTCTCCCTTTTGCCACATTGGCGTCCTACATGTAAAATTAGTCAGTCCACCTAAGTGAACACTTAGGCGTTTGTGGGTTCCCAAATAGTCCCATTAGATTTTTCGATAGTCCATGTCATTAGGAGATACCAAAATAAAAAAAAATTTGCAAGTTTGAATAAAATTTTCTATTTAAACAGTAAAATAGAAAAAAATGATAAATATGGAAACCAAAATTAATATTATCCAAAAAAAACGAAAAGGGTAACACAATTTTTTATCTTTTCATTTATAAATGAAAAGGATTAATATATATTCTTTTTAAGATTAACCGTATTTAGTACCTGCCCAAGAATATGCTCCTCCTTTATAATATTTTATTTTATCTTATTTTCTGATCTCTTACCGTTCATCAAACCATCAACAGCGTTATCATCACCATCAGAATCAACCACGTGGCCTTGTCTTTGCATACAAGTGTCCACAAAACAGTTTTTATGTCCTCTGCTTTCCCTTACATAAGAGGGCGTTATATCACTCGATTATTTTATTTTCTTTTTTACGTTTCACAAAAAAAAGCGCCAACGAATTTGGATCCAATTCTCTGCCCATTTTATCTATCTCCCACTAAGATTGAAAGGCTGCAAGGCAATTTCAGTCTCACTCGTTCTGATTAGGTATTTGTCTCTATTCGCATTTTGTTTTCTGCTGTTTCCTCTCTTGTTTTTCTATGATTTTGCAATTTTGCTTCTACATCTGTTTGGTTGCTTAGAAAGTGTGGGAAAAGGAAAATGGAATTCAACTTTTGAAATCTGAAATCTGGAGTAAGATTTTTTCATCATACTCTATAATTTCAGAAATGATAATATTGCATTTATTATTGAAATTTTTTGCGATTGATAAAATAGTATTTTTGTTTGAGCTCTTGAATCTGAATTGAATTTGGAAATTCTTGCCTTGTGATTTTATTTCAAATGTTTTGAGCTCTATTACTCTTTCATTTTTGGTCAAGCAGTTGTTAGGATTTCATTTAGTTAATGGATTCTCCAACTGTTGTTTCTTTTTTTTTTTTGGATGATTTTTGTGATGATTTGATTGTTTTATTTCCTTCTTTTATTGTAATTTCGTTTTCTGTTTTTACTTGAACTTTTGAGGCTCTGTTCTTTTCTTTAGTGAGACCTTTTCTTTTATTTCTTGACAGAATTTTATGGATAATCCAAGATAATAGTTAGTACAAATTCTCATAAATTCAACAGCTGTTATTAGTAATCCATATTAGGAACTAGTTTCTTTATGCAATCACCAAATCAAGAATTGGTTTGTTTCTATTACTTTTAGGATTGATATTTATGACATTTATCTATGTTTTTCAATATTTTTTATGTTGGTCTTTTGATAGAGGGTCTGAGGTTCGGTGGTGGCAGTAATGGATCGGCTTAAGGCTCCTGCTCGCCTCATGATAGTTTCTGATCTTGATCATACAATGGTTGGTTTTATAATTCTTTGGTTTCTGCTTGTTTCCTTTCATATCCTTCCTGCAGCAGTTTTATTGGATCATTTTCTTTTCTTGCAGGTTGATCATCATGATCCTGAGAATATGTCACTGCTTAGGTTTAATGCGTTATGGGAAGCCCATTATCGTCATGATTCTCTGCTCGTTTTCTCTACCGGAAGATCGCCCACACTTTACAAGCAGCTGAGGAAAGAGAAGCCCATGTTGACTCCAGATATAACTATAATGTCTGTTGGAACTGAGATCACATATGGGAACAAGATGGTGCCAGATAATGGTTGGGTTGAAATTCTGAATCAGAAATGGGATAAGAACATAGTCACTGAGGAAGCAAGCAAGTTTCCTGAACTTAATCTTCAGGTATACATTAAAAAGATAATGATATTTTGTCTTTTTATTGACGTCTTTGCTTTGTCAATGGGCATTTAGTATTGATGCATTTGCTTCAATGGCTCATTGTAAAGTATTTTTGGTATTTGCAATCACTCTATAAGTGAAATTGATGGGCTAATGCAGTCAGAAACGGAGCTACGGCCGCACAAGGTTAGCTTTTATGTTGACAAAGATAAGGCTCAGACGGTAATTAAGGCTCTTTCAGAGATATTCCAAAAACGAGGGGTAAGATTCATGTTTCGACCAGGAAAGATGCTATCTCTGACCTTTTTATATCTTTGTCTAACTGGAAGCATGCTATTTCTAAACTATAGCAGTATGGGAATCTTCTTCCTCTTATTCTCTTCCTTCTCCATTTTCCTTCTCTTTCTAGTACTCAACTACTGTCGTGTCTATTAATTTAACTTTCAGTTCTCATTTTTTTTTTCTCCTTTTTTCTTTGCCAGTTGGATGTTAAAATAATTTATAGTGGAGGAATGGATTTGGACATACTACCACGAGGCGCTGGCAAAGGACAGGCTCTTGCTTATTTGCACAAGAAGTTTAAGACTGAGGGAAAACTACCTAACAAAACTCTTGTTTGTGGTGACTCTGGAAATGATGCCGAACTATTCAGCATTCCAGATGTATATGGAGTCATGGTAGAAACTTTGCCTGCTACATAACTATTTGTTCAATCATATCTCTACATTGGGAATTGGGGTTATCTTTGTGAGTGGTTCAGTTTGTAATACTTCTTTTAAAGAGAGATTATGTCGGTTGTGCAGGTTAGCAATGCACAAGAGGAATTGTTGCTGTGGTACACTGAAAATGCTAAAAATAATTCTAAAATAATTCATGCAAGTGAAAGGTGTGCAGCAGGTATCATACAAGCCATTGGACATTTTAGCCTTGGTCCAAATACTTCTCCAAGAGATGTAACAGATGTTTCACAGAATGAGTTGGACAACCTTAGTCCTGGCAATGCAGTAGTGAAATTTTTCTTGTTCCTCGAGAAATGGAGGCGCGCAGAAATTGAGAATTGTGAGATGTACTTGGCAAGCGTGAAAGCTGATTGTGTATGTTCCCTATCTTTTCCTTTCATTCTATGCTATTAGCATGCAATATTCTCTCACATCTCCCTTTATATGTTTTTCCATCTTATGTGTAATGTTATCTAATATTAAGCAGAACAAAAGAGGGCCAAGTAGAATCTGTTGGAAATATATCCAATGAGGCTAAGTTCTTTCAGTACTTTCTAGATCATTTTGGACCTTCATGCCTTTGTACTAATTTGGTCAAATTCCCTATTTGGTGGCAGGATCCATCTGGTATCCTTATCCATCCTTCTGGTGCTGAGCTAACTCTTCATGATGCTGTAAATGGACTGAGAAGTCACTACAGCGAGAAAAAGGGAAAGCCATTTCGGATTTGGGTTGATCAGGTCATACCTACAAAAATTGGTTCAGATGCATGGCTAGTAAAGTTCAATCAGTGGGAATCATCTGGTGAGACTTTTAAATAACAATAAATGGTGATGATAATGTTCTCAATTGCTGATTATGTTTTCCTATATCAAATGCTTTATTTTGAACTCTTACAGGTGATAAGCGGGAGGGTTGTGTGAACACTGCTATAATAAATATAAAGGTGAAATTCAAGATTAACGAGTTGATTTATACTGAAAAATTACATCTCTCACTTGATCCATTTTTCCTTTTTAGAAATCTGTGGAAGCAACTTTTATGCACCTTCATCAAACATGGTTGGAAGGATCAACAGTGGAAGATCAATCAGCTTGGGTCTTCTAGATTTGGTTGCAGCTTCCCCCTAATGCTTCAAAGTGACAGATGCCTGTAAAATTCTTCAGTTAAAATAAAAGCAATCAACTGATTATACATTCCAGTTTTGTAATTCAGTGGTTGATGTATGAACATCAACTTTGTTAAGATTGCTTATTATATCAAATAGAAAATCTCTACTCATACATGGATCTTCGATGAGAATTTTTGATTTTTGATGTTGCTGTCTCGGTGTTCACAGTATTGCACTCATATAAACATTTTCAAAAAAACAAAAATAAAAAATGCAATCATCAGTCAGGCGAATCTTTCCCAATTTCCAACCTTCATGTTCGGAGCTTTTTATTTCTTTTGGTTGGGCTATAGAGTAATAATAGAGTACCCTTTTATGTTTTGAAATTTAGCTAATTAAGTGTTTTAGTAGCTGTTAAGTGTTTTACTGGCATTTAGCAATTAGATGTTTAAATAACTTTTTTATAAAATGTCAAAGCTAAATGTTATTGGGTTAATTTTTCATAAAACACTGCAAAAAGTAGCATTTACTTAAAAAGTTGTGGCAGAATACAATCAAAATTTTGTTTTCCTTTGAAATTTGAATTCTTTGGTTTGTCTCTATCAATTTCTTTTTCTTTTCCTTTTCTTGAAATTTAATTTGTATTATTTTTGCCCTTTGAAATTTTGAAGTACTCAATATAAAACAGATATTAAAGCCTTTCATTTTCCTTTCTTCTGTCTCAAAGACAAAAGAATAAATAGATAATCTCTAAATTGTTTTTTTCATGCTTGTGGTAGGTTAATTTTCAAATAAAAAAGATTTCAAGTATGAAACATCACAACTAACTTTGATCTAAAACTTTCCCGTGCTTTTGCTTTTTATACGTTTCAACATTTTCTTTGATTAATTAGGCAGCCCTTTGAAATTTTGAAGTACTCAATATAAAACAGATATTAAAGCCTTTCATTTTCCTTTCTTCTGTCTCAAAGACAAAAGAATAAATAGATAATCTCTAAATTGTTTTTTTCATGCTTGTGGTAGGTTAATTTTCAAATAAAAAAGATTTCAAGTATGAAACATCACAACTAACTTTGATCTAAAACTTTCCCGTGCTTTTGCTTTTTATACGTTTCAACATTTTCTTTGATTAATTAGGCAAAACTCATTGCCAAAATTCCAAGTTCTTTGAGGATACATATAAAAAAAATTTCCCATCCTTTTGCTTTTTAAGTTTCAACATTTTCTTTGATTAATTAGGCAAAATTCATGTAAAAAAAACTTGAAAAAAAAAATTAAACTATAAAAAATGGCTCAACAGATTTGGAACCGGTGACCTCTGAGCTAGGAACCCAAAAAGTTGAAAATCCCCAAGCACATCGTATTTCAAGTTATTACTACATAAAACCAAATTTCTCCCTTTTCCTCTATGGTAGGAAAGTAGAAACGAATATGGTATTTTCAGAACCTGCAGTTTTAAATTCAATCCCATACTCTTGTAAATATATTATTGGTATTATGATTTTCTTTTTTCAATTCTTCCTTAACAATTAAGAATTGAATGAATAATTATTTTCTAAATTTAGTTGCATGATAATTAAAATATCATACTCTGACAATACTTTAACGTTACTCTTTTTCTTTCTTTAAAAAAAATAAATAAATAAAAAGCCTTTGTCAATGTTAGAATCTCATAAATTAAAATCTCTTATCTCAATGCTAAAAACCCAGAAAAGAAAGAAAAAAATAAAAAATAAATGATTAAAAGCAACAAATGTATACAAACTTCAAACTCAAGTCTCAATCAGCCTCATGATTATTGCCTACAGAAAAAAGAAAATGAAATGAGTTGCTTTGCTTTATTCGCACACAAAGCCTAATTCTTTTTATCAGATATGATTTTCTGTTTATATTTTATGCAGGCAATGCTGTGATTTTAAATAACAATTCAATTTTTCAAATTCATTTTAAATTATTTCAGGATTCATGTAGAGTGTGTTTGGATAGCAAATTATAAAGGAAAGAAAATCTGGAAGGAAAATAAAAGGGAAAAATATAAAATGGATTTTTCTCTTGATGTTTGGATATTTGAGAGAAAAATAAGAAGGAAAATAGTTTTTTGAATAATAAAATTACAAGATTAACTTTCATTTTTTTAAAAAAAAGTACAATAAATAGAGGGAAAATTATAATTTTTAATTATTTTTCTCTGACTTTTCTCTCAAATTGAAAAGAAAATAACATGTGAGTCACGTAATTATTTTCCCTTCATATTTTTTTTTTCCTTCATTATGTTTTCATTTCCAAATAAGTGAAGGAAACTAAAAGAGGTACAATTTTAAGCTCGTTTATTACAATTGTTTGTTTTTAGTTTTTTATTTATTAGAAACATAAAACTGTTTTCAATTTTTTGTTACTTATTTCTCAAAATAGTTTTTTTTTCCCTAAAATTATTTCCTCCTTTCATTTTAGTTCATGATGTGAAAAATTCTTTCAATTATCAAATCTCTCTCTTATTAAGCCATTAAAGATGTTAGTTAATAATTAAAAATCTAAAAAATAAAATAAAATCTAAGATAAAATAATTAAAAATATTTCACACTTTAATTTTTAAATTCAAAGTTAAATTAAATATTGATTATTATGTATACAATCAATTAAATAAAAACATAATATCAGAGTATTATAATAAATAAATAATACTAAATGACATTAGATTTATATGGATAGAGAAAATAATAATAAATATAAAAATAATACTAAATAGAGAAGAGATGAAAAAATAATAATAAATATAAAAAAATAATTACTAAATAGAGAAGAGATGAAAAAAAAACGTTAGGAATTTTAATAGAGATAATAAAATTAACGCCTATATATTTATGTTATAAATAAATTGATATTTGGATAGAGAAATAATATATTAATAATATAAACTTTATGAATAAGTAGAATTTTAATAGAGATAATAAAATTAACGCCTATATATTTTGTATAAATAAATGATATTTGGATAGAGAAAATAATAATAATAATATAACTTTATGAAAATAAGTCTTATAAAAAATTAAAAAAAGAAGGAATGTAAAATAAAAATAGAAAGCACATTTACAGAAACCATTATTTATAGTTTCATAAAATTTGTTTTTTATTTTAAAAAATAGTTTTCTAAAAATTAAAGAAAAAAATTAAACAAGTTTAAACAAACAAGTTTTATTTATTTAAAAAAAATGAAAAACAAAAAATTTAATAAAACAAACAACACCTTATTATTTTCTTTTTAATTTTTTTTCTCTCATAGTTTCTACCCATCCAAACATAGGGTTAAGCTTGATACAGCCCCACTCAATATTAGAAACTACTCCTATATTTCAAAATATAAATTGTTTGAAAATGATTGCTTTATCTTAAAATATAAATCATTTTGATTTTTTTTAAATTTACTTTTATTTATATTAAATACAACGTAATGGTGTGAGATAAAAAATGTATTTTTAATTTTTTTATATTTTAAGAGAATTAATTATTTTATTAATTTATGTTATTTTATTAATTTATATGTAAAAATCTTAAACGGTCCGTATGCTGTAAGAGTATAAATCAATGTGAAGCCTAATTTATTATTTAAATTTAAAATTTAATTAATATTTTAAATTATAAATAAGTAGAAAACCATACAGGTGCACCCAAATAAGTCTTCCCACGTGACATTCCTACCCGGATTTCCCACGTGGCAAGTTAAAACTGAAAGCACTTTGTTTGAAGACACGTGTGAACGAAAACCCAAAACTCTGAAATTCGAAAAAAGGAAAAGGGAAAACGGAAAACCTTATCCAGCATTTCCAAATTCCAAATCCAAACAAACTGATATACCCTTCTCGCTCCCTCTTTTTATCCTTTTCTTCCTTTATATAGCGCTCCTCTCTCTCACTCTGAAATTGCAGATCATCACATCAAATGGGTCTGAGGCTCGTGTACGGTGTGGTGTTCCTTTCTTTCTCATGCGCCTGCTTCAAGCTTCTGCACCTATTCCTTCACCCAGTCTTCTACTACACTTCTTCCTGATATGTAGGAATCATGTAACTTGTTAATCAAATGGGTTAGTCTTATTTTCTTTATTTTTAATTTTATATAAAAAAAATTGTTTTACTTTACACATATTGGGATCGATGTAATCGATTGTGAATTTTCGATTACATCTGGGTTGGATTTGGATAGAGAGAAAGAGGGATCATGTTTTTGTTATTCCCTGGTTGGCTGTGTTTGATTTGTTTTCTAAATATTATGTTTTCTGGGTTCTGTATACTGTGAAAATCTGTAATGAATTGATGATTATGTACTATCTACTGTATTGGTAATGGCTATTAAATGAGAATTATCTAATATTTATGTATTAAGTATGTATTTATTTTTATTTGGTGAAGATTATTTTGTTGTAATTTTTATTTAATTGGGTAAATTATTTCAGATTGGAACTTGTAATATGATATTGGGATTAATACTTTTTCAGTAGCAAGAACTTAATTATGATGATTGATGAGTTGAACTAAGAATTAGTTTGGGATTAAAGTTTAGGGGTGGATTTGAAAAATGTCCAATAACCTATGGGTTGGTTTGGTTCAAGCCAATAATTTTGGATGAGGGCTTTCAATAATAGTGGTATGGGCATCCATTATGAATTTGGTTTTGCCATATGCTTGTCAAAGGTAGTCATGCCTGAGCTAAATTGTACTATTATATGGCCAAAATTATTCATTTCTGACGAAGGTCTTTTTGGTCCTTTTCTTTAACTCAGATCCTTTGCTCAAAATATTTATTTTCAATTTTTTAAATACTAATTGTTATAATTTTCATTGTTTTCATGAATTTGTTAAAAGAATAAAAAAAATAATGCTTAATAAAATGTTGACGGAGGAGGTTGTTTGTTAAGCATCAATTTAATAAAAAAGTTAAAATTAAGGTTTGCTGCGATTGGAGTTGGGTTTAGTGTTTAATTTGAGTTTCAACACTATTTTAATTAATTATTGTGTTTAATTATAAATTTTTTATTGATCCTATGCAGATCAAACAACCAACTTAGGTGTGCTTAATTACCGAAATTAATGAAGAAAATTTATTTGATATAGAAATTTGATAGAGCATTGTTAAAAGATCATTTTCCAGTTTTAAAAGCAAAAATAAAATATCTAAAAGCTTCAAAAAAACAGTTCTC